CGACCATCGCAAGCCGTTGCCAGCGTGTCCCACAATTGGATCTAAAATCACTTGAGCCATTCCAGGCGTCGCCTACTATTCTCTATTTTCTAAAAACTAACATGACACTGAAGAACACTTTTTCTTATCCAACAAAAGGATACTTGCCACTCAGAACCAATTGAAATAAAATGTGGTATATTTCAAAGTGATTCCCTCTCTCCACTCCATTAATTCCAGTTTCGCTATTATGGAGGTTGTTCAATCTTCGCCTCTGTGTTTTTGTTTCGTTCTTTTAAGTACTGATTGAAGACTTTTATTGTTAAGTTCTTAAAGTTTACTTCCGTAATATTTTACTTATTGCTTTTAATCAATCTGATCGTTTTTTTTATTTGTCATTTTTAGATTAAGATTTATTATTCGTATTCTTATTTTCTCGATTTGTTCCTTTTATAGAAAAGCATGACGGGATTTGTCATTTTATTTTGTAATCTTTTTTTATTATATGTATTTGTATTGTGGTTTTATAATCTTACCCTGTGAATGATTTTATTCATGCTTTACGTTTTTCAAATCGTCCTTTTAGCTTTTTAGGGATGTCAATGATGTTAGTACTTTTTAAGATGCTTATTTTTCAATGGTTTTAATTATTTGTCTTAAGCTTTGTACCTTTTTATCACCCCTTGCTGTTTTTCTATGTACCTTCAGTTTTTCATATTTTAACTATATTTCATTAAGAAATTACTGAAAATGAATGCAGTGACGTCAGCAAGACGCCCGTATAAATGTGGATCCGCCAAAACAAAGAGAGATCTATCTGAACCTGTGTTTGTGTCACCCCTTTCTGGATTTACTCCAGCCTGAGACGTCAGCAGAACAAAGGTTGTACTGAGCATACTTCCCTTTACTTGCCTTGGTTATTTGCTGGACGTTGCCCTATTCATTTTTGTGGCTTGTATGTATTTTTTGTTTTCAAGTATTTCTTTTAACGTATTTTTAACCGAATCCCTTCTGGATTCGGATTTTCTAGTTTTGTTTTGTTTTTTTAACTTTCCCTTATAAGTATCGTGGTAAATATTTTAGTCTTTTTTAGGAAGTCAACGTTCTTTTTCTTGATGTTTTAAGTAACGCAGTTTTGTGTGTGGGTTCTTTATTTTGCCTTTTTAAACCTTAAGCTGTTTTATTGTTTCAGTATCTTTTATTTGCTTTTACTCCACATATTTTAAATAATAGGCTGAGTCACAAGGACTTTCATTAATATTTCTCCGCTCTGGGTACACGTCACACCTGCGTATGATCCTGGGTCAGTGCCCGCTACCGTATTACAGGCCCGGGATCTGTTTTAAGTTGCTCAGGGGAGTGAACGGAACCCTTATTTGCGTCCCTTCGCCATCCTTGCTTCACGGGAAGCTTGAGCTCGCTTCACGAGGCTGGGATTTAAATCGAGCTCCTCATTACATGCGGACTTGCATACTTACACTATAACTAAACAGCACCGGGTATGGATACAAGATTAATGACGAAAAGTTATTTGCTAAAAACGATGACGATTTAGAAGGGCTTTTGCAAGCCGAAAAGCATTTTAGTGATGACATTGGAATGTCACTTGGATTAGATAAATGTGCGAAGGCAACATTCAAAACTGGAAAGTTCGTCCACTCCACTAAAGCTAATCTTGGTGACGACAATGTTATACGAAACCTTGAGCAAGAGATATTATTAGAACCTTGGTGTCAATGAAGGAAAGGGTATACGACACGTCACAATGAAAGGAATGATAAGGAAGGAATGTTATAGACGGGTAATGGAAGTGCTAAAAATTTGAGTTGAAAATGGATACTAAAGACCGGAAACTGTTCACCATCAACAGAATACATCCTCCAAAATCAGTGGTTGATAGACTACATCCCACGAAAGGATGGTGGAAAGGGACCCATCAAACATGAACTTATAAAACCAAGATTGGGTGTTACAGTATGTAAATTCACATGAAGAGGGAAAAAGAGTACATTCCATAAAGAAAGAGAGTGAGAAGTTAAGAGTTCAATATTGAAACAAATGTTGACGGTGATCTTTCGTGTACTGAAAAGGCAGCATAAAGAGAAGGCATTAAAAAAATCAAAGAACGCAGTGAAAGCCAGCCTTTACAGGGACAGTACCCAACCTGCACACACAATCCTGATATAGACAAAGTAAACACCCATCAGCGCTACGCGGTGTTGGACTAAAATCTGAAACAAAGGTAATTATCAAGGCTGCACACGATGAAAGCAAAAATAATCAGAAATGGAGCAGAGCACAACTGTCAGTTCTGTGATAAATTCAGTGAGACCATTGATCATTATTCTTTTAATGTTTGGCACTAGCACAAAAAGACTAGGCCTACTTAAACTATTTATTAAGTAGGCCTACTTAAACAGACCGGGTATATTCATTGGAAAATATGCCAATACTGAGAAATGGCATGAGCACAAACCATTGCAAGTGGTCGAGAATGAACACGCTACCATCTTATGGGACT